AAAGTGTAATATTTTGGAGATTTTTCATTATTTTCAATATTTTGAGCGTTTTCGTTCAATGAAAAAATGGCAAATTTCAAAGCCCAAAATCGTCGACTGGTACCTCGATTTCAGTAATGAGTCTTATACCACCTTAAAGAGCGTTATCTCTTCTTTCAAAATCTGTTTTAAAAACTATGGGCAACTTAAAAGAAAATTTTTGAGGCCAAAAGATACAAGTAGTACTCCTCCGAAATTTGAGCTTTCCAGACTCAGCGGGCCGATGCTAAACTCAGAAAAATGCAATAAGAAATCAGTTTGAGCAACAGTGGTTTAACGTTATCAGCTATCAGAAACCAACACGTGTTTATCGAGCGATATGATAAAATTTAAAGCCTTTTTCCAACAAGGAAAGCAGAGTTTAGCCATCTTCTGCTACCAAACGCACGAGTCACGTAAGGTTGTCAAAGGGCAAAGCACAATAATAAACTTCAAAAAGCACAACGTTTCTGCGTCCAGGAATTAGACTTTAGCGGACAGAACAATGCCTGCGAGTGTATGTTTTATACCTTAGCATGGGTTTCCTAGATATTGGAAATAAAAAACATCAAGGACAGCATCGGCAAGAGCATCTTCGGCTGCTCTCAAACGACGGAGATTGCGTTACTTTTCACAGATTGACCGCTTACCACCTGTTTTTGGGCTCGCATTTCGACGGAACGCGTGCCTCGCAAGAGGCGCACGGCACGGATCTGAACTCTTCTTCACGAGACATTGAACTGAATTTATCGGAAATATGCCACCACCACCAACAAAACGAGCTTTTTTCGGGTATTTGTCGTTTTTTATACGAAAAGTTCGGGTAAGCAGATTCACGCAAAAACCATTTGGCTTAAAAAATGTGTTTAAAAGCCCACCCTGGATTTGAAGCAAAAAGTATTTCCTCGAAATAAGCTAAAAAATACCTAATTCACGCGGTGAAAAAATGTATGATTATGGAAGGATTATCGAATTCGCGCCTAACCTGAGGGATTTCCCAATTTCCCGTGATGTAGGATTAGGGGTAGGAAAAAAGCCCATAACCTGCTCCTGTCGTTGTGAATTTCCTCGAGATCAAAAATTTCAGTAAGAACCAAAACAACAGCTTAAAGGAGGTGCACACACCTTGACCTAGCCAGGGAAAAGGGGCTTCTGATTGAGCTAAACTGTCATTGATAAACGGTGCAATTAGTTAGACCTGTTACTATCTCCCGCGCAACCACAGGAACAAGTCCAGCCATTTGGGTCCGAGGGCGGGGAGTACTTTGACGCGGTCCTGTCGGAGACTTTCGGGGGTAGGGGGCGGGGCAAATCGAAAATAACTTCTCTTTGTTTTTGTGAAGTACATCATTTCTCGCACGGTTGACAAGATGACGGCGGACTCCGTTGCTGTGGAAAGGCCCTTTTGAAACATGTCCCGGCAACACGCAGGGCATCACGAAATTGACGTCAACACCTTGAATCAACTCGATGAAGAGGGAGAGGCGATAAGTCCCATCTTAAAAGATGCTTGATGTCTAGACGTGAATAGTCTGTCCGCAGTCATTTTTCATTTTGTATATCGGGACCATTTGACAGCGCACGAGTGAACCGGAGCGCAGTAACGAGCCCTAACCTCACCCCATTGCCCTTGCGGTCAATAAATCATCGCGTTTTTCATTTTTTTTATGCGCGTTCGAGAACCTCCAAAGGGAATATTGAGGGTCTTTGTACAGTTTCAGTTTATTTTACCGACAAAAAAGAACAAAACAAAGCAAAAGACAGGTATACAGAAATACACAAAAGCCCAAAAAGAAACCATAAGGATTAGGTCATCCCCTTTTCGTTCGTTTAGTGTCGAATAGGTTTCCTGGTTTTGGGTGGGTTGGTCGGTGGGGTGAAAAAAAATCACAAGAAATCTGAGAACAGGAGGCCTGAAACACCAGCATCATTGCCGTGGAGCCTGAAAACAACAAGACATGGTCACCAAATCGACACAAACTCAATATGCCGCAAAATGTAATGGTCAATTTCATAAAAAAAGTCCCAAAAAGGGTAAAAAGCAAAAAGGATATATCAACGAACGTTTTATGCCTGGAAATGCTGTTATAATGCTCAGTTTTTAGATTAAAAGAATTAATTTAAGTCCAAAAAAAATAAACCTTGTCGTTTCTTTTTCTTGAGTTTTTAAAAAGTGCCAAAAAACTAGGTCTGTTGGAGACACTAAACGAAGAAAAAATTAATATAGGTATTAAGCTCCCTTAAAGTATAAAAGTATAAGTTTACAAGGACAGGATCGAACGTATACTGAGTAACTAAATGATAAAAATTTGATCAAAATTAAATGAAAGGTTAAGAGTCTAAGCGCCGTCTGATAACGAAACGGTAAACAAGAAGTGCTGCCTGTCATTTAATAGAGACGTGAAATACTGGGTGGACCACATTCTGAACTCCTGCGAAAACCGCAAGAGAGGAACGCTCAGGGCTAAGGAGACTAAACAGGGGCATAGCTAGTTGTACGCACGGTTCGCACGTGCGTCCCCGAAAAGGTTGAGGAGAAAAAATAGAATGAAATAAACATAACTAAAAAAATCGGTTTCCAGAGAAGCGACGACATTAATTAGAGAACCTAATCTTGGATGATTTATTTATATAGCAAGCTTGATGATACTGATGATGTAAAGCGTGAACGCGTTGTTTTCTCCACGACCTGTCTTCGGAGTAAACGAAGTAGGGCACAATTACGTCAATGTGTGGTGCTTTTGTCGGTCAAAAATAATGTGACAAAAAGGGGTAAAAAGAGTTATTTGTAAACTAAAGTCGGAGGTACTACAAGCTTGATTTTTAATAGCTGAATTAATGATAAACGGTTGACGTCAATGAACATAACAAGCCGACAGAATTAAAGAATTTTAGAGGTTGTGTCATTTGATAAACAGCAAAAATGCTTTTGCTTACAACCGTTAACCCCACCTTTAATAAAGGTACCTTAAAAAAATGCTGAGATTTGGGGTGGGGGGGGGGAGGGGGGGGAAGACGATGTAGAAAAAGTTGGGCGTACTTCCGGAAAATCCTGACTGCGCACCTGCTAAAGCCTGAAACTGAACAACAGGAGTCTTGACGAAACGTCCTCAGTTATCATCTGTCCGGGGTCGTACTTTCAAGGAAACGCTGATCAAGAATCACTCATGACGGAATGAAAACTCCTCGTAGCTTCCAGCGAAAAAAGGAGTGACAACAGTGGTAAGCGGTCGCTCTGTGAAATGTAACGCAATCTTTGCCGTTTACGATCTTTCGGCGCTTGGATTTAAAACGTTGTTGTTTAGTATGTTCTCCCGTGTGGATACACTTGACATTTCCAATATATGGAAACACCATGCTAAGGTACGAACAACAGACATTCACAACATTTTTTTGTTCGCTAAAATCTGATTCCATGGACGTAAAACGTTTTGAATTTTAAGACTTTTTAATATTAGTGCTTTGCCCTCTCTTTGACAACTTCACGTGACTGTTGCACTTGGCAGGAGTTGACAGCTGAAATCTGCCTTTCTTGATAGCAAACGGCATTAATTTATATCAGATGGCTGTATAAACACGTCTTGGTTTCTGAAAGCTGATAACATGAAACCACTGTTGCTCAAACTGATTTCCTATTCATTATTGTATTTTTCCAAGTTTTTAGCATCGGCCCGCCGGGTCTGGAAAGCTCAAATTTGGGAGGAGTACTACTTGTATCTTTTGGCCTCAAAAATTTTCTTTTAAGTTGCCCATAGTTTTGAAAACAGATTTTGAAAGAAGAGATAGCGCTCTTTAACGTGGTATAAGACTCGTTACTGAAATCGAGGTACCAGTCGATGATGTGGGGCTTTGAAATTTGCCATTTTTTCATTGAACGAAAACGTTCAAAATATTGAAAATAATGAAAAATCTCCAAAATATTACACCTTCGCTCAAACTGAGTAAATCACCACTTAAAATGTGTGCAATTATGTACTCTTCTGAATAAGTTATTTGTTGTCCGCATTACAACGGATTTGAATTTTAAAACCATTTTTTTGTGACACATGGTCTCCGGCCTGGAAAACCCGGTCCGAGCGCCGCGAAACCAATAACCCCCCCCGTACGTGGAAAATAATTATCGGATCGAAGTAAAAATTACGTTTATGTTAATAGCTTACCTAGTGCTACTTTGTGAGTTTTCTTGAGAATTTTGGATTTTTCACTTTTGTAGACCTCTTGTCGATATTTACTGACATCCGCTCTTAAAGTCGGCCAAAATGTTGAATTCAGGATTTTGGAAGGCTAAAATCTTGAAGTCAGCCAAAATCTTGTATTCAGGATTTTTGAAAGCAAAAGTCTTGAAGACAACCAAAATCAGGAATTCAGGATGTTGGAAAGTTAAAAATTTCAAGTTAGCCAAAAACTTCAAATTAGAATTTTGGAAGGGTAAAATCTTAAAGTCGGTCAAAATCTTGAATTCAGTATTTTGAAAAGCTAAAACGTTGAGGTCAGCCAAAATCTTAAATTTAGTATTTTGGAAAGCTAAAATCTTAAAGTCAGCAAAAATCTTGAAATCAAGATTTTCGAAGGGTAAAGTTTTGAAGTGAGCCAAAAGCTTGAATTTATCATTTCTAAAAACTAAAATATTGAAGTCAGCCAAAATCTTGAATTCAGTATTTTGAGAAGCCAAAACCTTGAGGTAAGCCAAAATCTTGAATTCAGGAGTTTGAAAAACAAATATCTTGAGATCAGCCAAAATGTTGAATTTAGGATTTTCGAAAGCTTAAATCTTGAAGTCAGCCAAAATCTGGAATTAAGGATTTTGGAAAGTTAAAATCTTCAAATCAGCCGAAATCTTGAATTTCAGGATTTTGCAAAGCTGCAATTTTAAAGTCAGCAAAAACCTTGAAATCAATATTTTGGAAGAGTAAAGCTTTGAACTCAGCCAAAATCTTCAATTTAGTATTTTGAAAAACTAAAATGTTGAAGTCAGCCATAATCTTGATATCAGGAATTTAGAAAAGTAAAATCTTGAAGTCAGCCAAACTCCGGATATTAGGAATTTGGAAAGGTAAAATCTTGAACTTAGGAAAAGTCTTTTATTAACGATTTTTGAAAGCTAAAGTTTTAACGTCAACCAAACTCGGGAATTCAGTATATTCGAAAGCTAAAATCTTCAAGTCAGCCAAAATCTTTAATTCAGGATTTTGGAAAGTTAAAACTTGAGCTCAAGCAAAATCTTGCAATCAGGATTTTGGAAAGCTAAAATGTACAAGTCAGCTAAAATCTGGAATTCAGTATTTCAAAAAAAGCTAAAATCCTGAGGTCAGCCAAAATCTTGAATACAGGATTTTGGAAGGCTAAAATCTTAAAGTCAGCCAAAATCTTGAATTCAGGGTTTTGGAAAGCTAAAATCTTAAAGTCAGCCAAAATCTTGAATTCAGGGTTTTGGAAAGCTAAAATCTTACGGTCAGCGAAAATCTTGAATTCGGCATTTTAAAAAGCAAAAATCTTAAATTCAGGTGTTTGGGAAGTTAAAATCTTAAAGTCATCCAAAGTCTTGAATTCACTATTTTGAAAAAGGTAAAATCTTGGAGTCCGGATTTTGGGAATCTAAAATCTTGAAGTCAGCGAAAATCTTGTATTTAGGATTTCGCAAACTGGATCTCTTTAAGTCCGCCAAAATCTTGAAAAGAGGATTTTGGAAGGGTAAAATATTGAGGTCAGCCAAAATCTTGAATTGAGACTTTTGCAAAGCCAAAATATTGAAGTCAGCCACAATCTTGAATTCAGGTGTTTGGAAAACTAAAGCCTTGAACTCAGCCAAAATCTTAAATTCAGGTCTTTGGAAAGCTAAAATTTTAAGGTCCGCCAGAATCTTGAATCCACTATTTTGAAAAGGTAAATCTTGAAGTCAGGATTTTGGGAAGCTAAAAACCTGGAAGTCAGCCAACATCTTGTATTCAAGAATTTCGAAAGCTAAAGTCTTGAAGTCAACCAAAATCATGAAATCAGGATGTTGGAAAGTTAAAATCTTCAAGTCAGCCGAAATCTTGAATTTTAGGATTTTGGAGAGTTGAAATCTTGAAGTCAGCCAACTTCTTGAAATCAGGATTTTAGACGGGTAAAAGCTTGAAGTCAGCCAAAATATTGAATTCAGCATTTTGCAAAGTTGGAATCTTGAAGTCAGCCAAAATCTTGAATTTCAGGATTTTGGAGAGTTGAAATCTTGAAGTCAGCCAACATCTTGAAATCAGGATTTGGGAAGCTAGGGTCTTGAAGTCAACAAAAATCTTGAGTTTAGGCAGAAACTCATAAGGGGTTGAAACGTGTAACTCGCGTTCAATGCTCGTGAATATTCAATTTTACCATATTTGGAAACCTTAGTGACAGATATCCATTTTGAACAAATGGCTGCCGCTTGATCACCATGTAGATGTTTTAAGACAAGAGTTCTGCATTTCAAGTTTAAAAATGCACCGTTAACAGACAAAAAATGGAAAGAGAAAGTTCAAAAGAATGCTCAGCTTTCTTTTTGTGGAGGAAGGGAAGCTTTTCATCAAGAAATCGTCCTTCGAGGAATTCAACCTTGTTTTCTTCACGACGAAGCGCATGGTCTGTTTTGAAATGCAACCAAGGGAGTGAAGTTTTTGCTGAATTTTCAGGTACATTTTGCACTCTATGGCCAAGACAATTACGCTTTTGAAAGGGAATTTATTTATTTTTAAATGTTTCATAGACGTTTTATAAATTTTTCTCTTCGGCGCTAAAGAAAAATTACAAAATGTGCCCCGATTTGAGATGGATTTTGTATTGAATTTTGCCATGTGCTCAGTCGATTTCACTTGCGTTAACGGATCCACGATCCAGATAATGTTTCCCGAATTGCTTTAAAGGATTAACCTTTTGGGTTTTGAATAAAACTCTTCACGAAACGGCTTCCCTGTCTATTTGTTTTGACTTTGTTCATTCATAAAATTAGCTCAAAACACGATCGTGACCACATCCAAGCTGAATTTAAGCTTAAAGTGACAAGAATGAGTTAAATCCTTTTCACATTACTTACACGCATCACTTTTTGCAAAGATGTCAGGTTCAGGTTTTGGACACTTTTCGATACGCAGCTAATGAATTTTTTTTCAAAAATAGTTTTTACTGTTTATTCTAGACTAGTAATATAAGAATTGCAGTATAAGTTTACTGTGCAGAGGGTCAACGAGGCATCGTTTTTTGAAGTGACAACTTCAAGAAGTTGCGAAGACGTCAATGGGTTTCATAATGTTACGTTTGGCCCGGGTGGTAAGGCAATAATATCCTGCTCGGTAGTTCGGTAATATTCCTGGTTTCAACCTTTGAAAGCTTTCTCGGCTTTCAGGAGTTTTTCCCCCGTTTGTCGGCCATTTTTTTAAGCGGGCGCGGGAACGTAAAGTAAGATTACGTCACGTTGTTTACAAAGTTTGATTGGTCAGTTATCTCTTCTTCTCGTTCCAAATATGGCACTTTTCAAAATGAATAATCACGAGCATCGGACAAAACAAACAAATGAGAGTTACACGTTTCAACACCCTATTGAGTTTCTGGTTTAGGACATTGGAAAGTTAAAATCTTGAACTCTGCCGAAATCTTGATTTCAGGATTTTGGAAAGTTAAAAACTTCAAGTCAGCCACAATCTTTAAATCAGGATTTTGAAAAGCCAAAATCTTCAATTGAAGAGTTTGAAAAGCTAAAATTTTGGAGTCAGCCAAAATCTTGAATTCAGGATTTTAAAAAGCTAAAGTCTTGGAGTCAACGAAATTCTTAAATTCAGGATGTAAGAAAGTTAAAATCTTGAAGTCAGCCGAAATCTCGAATTCAGGATTGTGCAAAGTTAAAATCTTCAAGTCAGCCAAAGTCTTAAAATTAAGATTTTGGAAAGCTTAAATCTTCAAGTCAGCCAAAATCTTGAATTGAGGCTTTTCTAAAGCGAAATTTTGAAGGCAGCCACAATCTTGATTTCAGGTGTTTGGAAAGCTCAAAGCTCGAAGTCAGCCAAAATCTTGAATTTAGCATTTTGGAAAGCTCAGATCTTGAAGTCAGCCAAAATCTTGAATTCAGGATTTTCAAAAGCTAAAATGTTGAAGTCAGCCAAAATCTTGTTTTCAAGATGTTGGAAAGTTAAAATCTTGACGTCAGCCGAAATCTTGAATCCAGGAGTTTGGAAAGTTAAAAACTTCAAGTCAGCCAAAATCTTCAAATCAGGATTNCTCAGATCTTGAAGTCAGCCAAAATCTTGAATTCAGGATTTTCAAAAGCTAAAATGTTGAAGTCAGCCAAAATCTTGTTTTCAAGATGTTGGAAAGTTAAAATCTTGACGTCAGCCGAAATCTTGAATCCAGGAGTTTGGAAAGTTAAAAACTTCAAGTCAGCCAAAATCTTCAAATCAGGATTCTAGAAGAGTAAAATCTTGAAGTCAGGCAATATCTTGAATTCAGTATTTTAAAAAGCGAAAATCTTGAAGTTTTTGGAAGCTAAAATCTTGAAGTCAGCCAAAAAATTGTGGTTTCACAAAATCTTAGATTTAGGGTTTTAAAAAGCGAAAGTCTTAAATTCAGGTCGTTAGAGATCTAAAATCTGGAATTCAGTATTTTGAGAAGCTAAAACCTTGAAGTCAGCCAAAATCTTTAATTCAATATTTTGAAAAGCTAAAATCTTAAAGTCAGCCAAAATCTTGAATTCAGGATTTTGAAAAACAAATATCTTGAGGTCAGCCAAAATGTTGAATTTAGGATTTTGAAAAAGAAATATCTTGAGGTCAGCCAAAATGTTGAATTTAGGATTTTGGAAACCTAAAATTGTAAAGTCAGCCAAAATCTGGAATTTAGGATTTTGGAAAGTTAAAATCTTGAAGTCAGCCGAAATCTTGAATTTCAGGATTTTGCAAAGTTCCAGTTTTGAAGTCAACAAAAATCTTGAAATCAAGACTTTGGAAGCGTAAACTTTTGAAGTCAGTCAAAATCTTCAATTCAGGATTTTTAAAAGCTAAAATCTTGAAGTCAGCCAAAATCTTGAATTTAGGATTTTGGAAAGCTAAAATCTTGAAGTCAGTAAAAAGGTTAAGGTCGGACAAAATCTTAGATTAAGGGTTTTAAAAAGCGATAATCTAAACTTTAGGTCGTTGGAAAGCTAAAGTCTTGAAGTCAGCCAAAATCTTGAATTCAGTATTTTGAGAATCTAAAACCTTGAGGTCAGCCAAAATCTCAAATTCAGGAGTTACGAAAGCTAAAATCTTAGTCAGCCAAAATCTTGAATTCAGGATTTTGAAAAACAAATATCTTGAGGTCAGCCAAAATGTTGAATTTAGGATTTTGGAAAGCTAAAATTGTAAAGTCAGCCAAAATCTGGAATTAAGGATTTTGGAAAGTTAAAATCTTGAAGTCAGCCGAAATCTTGAATTTCAGAATTTTGAAAAACAAATATCTTGAGGTCAGCCAAAATGTTGAATTTAGGATTTTGGAAAGCTAAAATTGTAAAGTCAGCCAAAATCTGAAATTAAGGATTTTGGAAAGTTAAAATCTTGAAGTCAGCCGAAATCTTGAATTTCAGGATTTTGCAAAGTTGTAATTTTGAAGTCAGCAAAAAACCCAAAATCAAGATTATGGAAGGGTAAAGTTTTGAAGTCAGCCAAAATCTTGAATTTAGCACTTTGAAAAACTAAAATATTGATGTCAGCCAAAATCTTGAATTTAGGAATTTGGAAAGCTAAAATCTTGAAGGCAGCCAAAAAGTTGAGGTCGGACAAAATCTTAGATTTAGGGTTTTAAAAAGTGAAAATCTTAAATTCAGGTCGCTGGAAAGCTAAAATCTTGAAGTCAGCCAAAATCTTGAATTCAGGATTTTGAAAAGCTAAAATCTTCAAGTCAGCTGAAATCTTAAATTCAGTATTTTGGAAAGCGAAAATCTTCAAGTCAGCTGAAATCTTGAAATTCAGGATTTTGGAAAGGTAAAATCATGAAGTCAGCCAAAATTTTGAAGTCAGTTTTTTGGAAAGCTAAAATATTAAAGGAAGCCAAAATCTTGAATTGGGGATTTTGGAAAGTTAAAATCTTGAAGGGAGCCAAAATTTTGAGTTCAGAATCTAGGAAACCAAAGATCTTAAGTAGAAAGCTGAAATCTTGAAGTCAGCCAAAATCTTGGATTCAGAGTTTTTGGAAAGCAAATATCTTGAGGTCAGCCAAAATCTTAAAATTCCGGATCTTCCGAATCTTCAAGTCAGCCAAAATCTTGTATTCAGAATTTTAGAAAGCTAAAATTTTCAAGTCAGCCAAAATCATGAATTTAGGATATTAAAAAGTTAAAATCCTGAAGTCAGGCAAAATCTTGAATTCAAAATTTTGGAAAGCTTAAATCTCGAAGTTAGCCAAAATCTTGAATTCAGAATTTTGGGAAGTTAAAATCTTCACGTCAGCCAAAATCTTGAATTTAGGATTTTGGAAAGCTATAATTTTGAAGTCAGCCAAAATTTTGAATTCAGGATTTTGGAAAAATTAAATCTTGACGTCAGCCAAAATCTGGAATTGGGGATTTTGGAAAGTTAAAATCTTGAAGTCAGCGGAAATCTTGAATTCACTATTTTGCAAAGTTATAATCCTAAAGTCAGCGAAAATCTTGACCTCAGGATTTTTAAAAGCTGAAGTCTTAAAGCCAAAAAAAATTTTAAATTCAGGATGTTGGAAAGTTAAAATCTTGAAGTCAGCCGAAACCTTGAATTCAGGATGTTCGAAATTTAAAATCTTCAAGTCAGCCAAAGTCTTGAACTAAGGATTTTGGAAAGCTAAAATCTTGATTTCGGCCAAAAACCTTTTGTCAGCCATAACCTTGGAATCTGGATTTTGGAAAAGTAAAATCTTGAAGTCAGCCAAAATCTTGAATTCAGTATTTTAAAAAGCTAAAATGTTAATGTCATCCAAAATCTTGAATTCAGGATTTACAAAAGCTAAAATCTTAAAGTCAGCTAAAATCTTGAATCCAGGATTTTGGAAATGTAAAATCCTGAAGTCAGTAGTATAGTACATGGCGGTACCGGACCACTTTCCATATTTTGGATTTGAGCTTGGGATTTCTGCTGATGTCAGCATTTTGGTAACCGGTTTGGGGCGGCTTGGACTATTTTCGCTAATTAATTGGGCAAAATGATCTTGGCTTAAAGACAAAAGGATTAATTATAGTATATGAGTAAAGAGATTGTGATTGATACTGTTGTTTATAAAATTCATCCATATTATAATTTATATGCTGCTTCTGAAAATGGAACTGTTATACATATCATCAAACAGGAACCACTAGTTGGTCATAAATCACATACTGGTTACAGACAAGTTGTTGTGAGACGCTATAATGATCGCAAACAAAAGGGATATTTTATCCACCGATTCATCTGGGAATGTTACAATGGAATTATTACTAATGATAGAGTAATTGATCATTATAACGATGTTAGGGATGATAATAGACTTTCTAATTTACAGCTGCTAATTACGCAACAAGAAAATTGTCTGAAGTCAGCCAAAAAACGAGATTATTCATTTGCTGTAAGAAATAACCAAAATCGGAAATTTGTGAAGGCTATTGATCTAGTGACAAATGAAATTGTATATTATAATAGTTTATACTCGGTCCAACAACACATAAATGTTAATTGTGGTATAGTAAAGATGGTATGTGAGGTATTGTAAATCGGGATATCCAAAATTAATTGTCATCATTACAGTTTTGAATATGTCAGGCCAGAAGATATGCCAGTAGATTATAAAAAATCAGCAAATATTCGACCACGTAAGTATACAATAGATGAGAAAAAACAAATGCAGAATTTGTGGTATAAGGAGTGGACAAAGAAAGTATATATTTGTCCACGATGCGGTAAGAGTATAAAAAATGGCGGTAAATATTTGCACAATAAAAAGTGTCAGAAAGTTAATAATAAATGATGTTAATATAATCTAATAATAGGAAGTACTATTGGGGCAATCGGGGAGAAAATACCTCAATTGCCCTATGGGGACTAATAAGAATAAAAGCAGTAGGGGCAACTATAAGCTCAGGCCACATGACGGTTTGTCCGTTAAGCCCAATCTGTATTGTCATCACGTTATAATCCCAAATCACTAACCGAGTTGGCGGCTAATAAAATAGAACATTCAATAAGAATGCCGCAGTCAGCAAAACCGAAATCACTAGTACAATTGGCCGCCGAAAAGATCGAACAGTCTATCAAACAGCTAGCCAAAATGACAAGACCCATTAAGATGTTACCAACATTGAAAACCTTAGCAGCACAAGCTCTATTAAAAGATAAGGTCAATTATTGGGAAAACAAAGCAAATAATGATACTCCTATTAATGGGTTAGATAAAAATACAATGAGAGGGGGGAGACGTCCTACTCCTATTCCAGCTCCCAGAACAAAAAAAAAGCAACCAGTAGCAGCACCGAGGACAAAAATTGACGAAAAACGGAAGGCTCTCAAGGGCTTTACCCAATCATATGAGATCGGTTTGAAGAATGATAGAGATGCTTTGGTACAGCTCCAAAATACGAGACTGGCAATTAGTCGATTATTTAATACTATACTCAATAATACAAAAGGTTTCTAATTTGTGGAGACGTTAAAAGTAACATTTGTGAAGAGAAAAGATGATGATAATGTTTATAAATCAGCTTATTTCAATAGTCGGGCACAAATAGTAATTAATCCTAATGATTTCTTATCAAGTTTACAATTATCACAGCAACAAATATTGAACGGAATTGGTGTCTGGTTATCTGAGGGTAGTGGCTGGACTGTTAGCAGTATCAATGAACATTACATAAATACAGTAGTGTATGAGCCAATGAGAGGTCACTCATATTTACCTCTACCGGTAAAATTACAGAACTCTGCTAAGGGGTTAATTAATCTACAAAATAAGGATGGTGAATGCTTCCGCTGGTGTCATGTACGATATTTGAATCTACAAAATTATCACCCCAGCGGATTAAGAAGACTGACAGAAAAATGGTTCAGGAATTAAATTACCAAGGGGTGGAATTTCCTGCCGCTGCTAAACATTATGGTAAAATAGAAGAGCAAAATAGCATTAATATTAATGTGTTTGGGTATGCGAATGAGCAATTTTATCAAATTCATGTCTCAAAGCAGAAAAACGAGAAAGAATTGAACCTGCTGTTGATTACACAGGGAGAGAAGCAACATTATGTTTTAATCAAGGATTTTAATAGAATGTTGTATAATGAGACTAAACACCAGCACCGCAAACATTTTTGTATGTACTGTCTCCAGTATTTTAGCACTGATAAGCTATTAGCAAAACACAAGAGTAATTGTATGATAATAAATGGGGAACAAGCAATCAGAATGCCCAAAGAAGGTAGTATGGTCCAATTTCAGAACTATCATAAGTAAATGCCAGTACCTTTTGTATTTTATGCGGATTTCGAGGCTATTACAGAGAAAGTATATGGGTGTCAACCAGATGGTGCTAAATCTTATACTGATAAGTACCAAAAGCACACTGGGTGTAGTTATGGTTATAAAGTAGTCTGTTGTTATGATGAAAAATACTCAAAACCAGTGAAAATTTATCGAGGGGAGAATTTTATTAGTTACTTCATGTTGGATATGCTCTCAGAAGTCGAATATTGCCAGAAGATGATTGCTACTGACTTCCAAAAACCGCTTCAGATGACGGACGAGGAGGAAGAATTATTCAAGACTGCCGAGGAATGTCATATTTGTAGGAAGAAATATTTAGATACTGAAGTAAGAGTTAGGGATCATTGTCACATCACTGGACAGTATAGGGGATCAGCACAACAGGACTGTAATCTGAAGCTGAGAATTGACCCAGATAAATTTAAGGTGCCAGCCATTTTTCATAATCTGTGCGGGTATGATTCCCATTTTAAAATGCAAGAAATTGGATCAATCGGAAAAAGCAATGATTTGAGTATTAATTTCATCCCTAATAATATGGAAAAGTATATGGCATTTATGGTGGGTAAACACTTGGTATTTCTGGATAGTTTTCAATTTATGGCCAGCGGTTTGGAGAGATTGGCCGCCAATTTACCCACCGATGCATTCAAATATACCATTCAGGTGTTTCAAGATGAGAAATTAGCACTGATGAAACAGAAAGGAGTATATCCATATGATTTCATGGACAGTTTTCAGAAGTTTGGTGATCAGCAACTACCTCCAAAAGAGGAATTCTATAGTATACTGACAGATGAGGGTATTTCTGATGAGCAATACCAGCATGCTCAAAAAGTCTGGAATACTTTTAATATGAGGACAATGGGCGTGTATCATAATCTGTATCTGAAATCTAAAATTCTCCTATCAGCTGATCTTTTTGAGAACTTTCGCAAGGCCTATCATCAGTATTATAAATTGGATCATTGCCATTATTTCACATCTCCTGGGCTACCCTGGGACGCTATGTTGAAAATGACTGATATTAGCGGAGCTCTGGCGCGCGAAGCGCGCCAGCGGAGCACCATGGGTAAGTAAATCTACCCATCCCAGAAAATTTGGTAATCACGTGACCGTACACCGCCCGCCCGCCCGTCCGCACCACAGGGAAACCAGTGTTTAATCCTCACACTTTCTAGCCAGTTTGGGAGCACAGGAAGACTGATATTGCACACATATTGCACGTCAATGTTGTGACCAATTGACAGCTGTCAAAACAGGGTATCCGCTGACCAGTATCACCTGACCGTATCGCGGGCTCAGGTGTCGACCCATCGAGGTCGATATCATTTTGAAGTTATCCGCTGACAAGTTATTAGTTTTCAAATGATCGCAGGCTCAAGTTTATTTTTTTAAATTTAATGAAATATGTTGTGTTTTGTATGTGTGGCACAATTAAAATGTTGATTTCAAACTGACCTCGGAAGCTAAAATTCAGCCAGTTTTTACAGGCAGGGAAGACATACCAGTTGCTTTTGACTTTTCTCACCAAGGTCACGCGTTGGCCACGCTCTACGTCCAATTTTTATACTCTAATTGGTCAAAATTTGATAGGTGAATTCATGCGGAAAATTTATACAGCATCTTGAAACTTGTTTACTTTGCTGAAGACAGAGTTTTGTGTCAACTTGTGATGTTTTTAGCTGTCTTTTTCCACTGAATGTACAAAATGAAATTCAGCTGCTATCAAGAGTCTTCTGTTATTCATGCCTAGTTTGTTTACTGGGTTTTTGGTTGAGAAATACGTCGCTTGTCAAAGTCGGAAATCCGATTTCGGATGGCATCGTTTTCGTTTTCCACCTTGCTTGATGCGTAAGAGGGTTGAAAAGTCTGAAGCGATTCTGGCCTTACTTGATAGTTTTCAGCGCATCTCGAATGGTAAGCCTGAGTAATTATTACATTTGACGTTTGTCTTTTATATCTAATTTAATGAAGTCGAGCGTAGTTTATGCGGCTATTTAGTTTATGCACGTTTTTAATTGTAAGATTTGAGACAATGATCTGACCGAGTATCAGGTTTGATTATAAGCTATAGAACTTTAAAAAGCCTTTAGACATTTTCTCACCGCAAAAAGAAAGAAAGTAAACGTTCCAAAGAATATTTAATTATAATTCTGGCTATAAAAGAAAGCTTTGAGCGATTTTCTTGCCTCGAGTTCATCTTTGAAAAAGCAAACACCGGGAAGCCGGCTTACAAAATGAAAAACATAAACAAGGATTTTCAGAGGGCTTTAATACTTGTCTTCGTGAATGAAAGTTGTTGCCTCTGTATATGTTTCACCGAATTATTTTCCTTTTATTGATTGTTAGTAGTCTCTTTTGCAGTTTTTATCGCCGTGCCGTTTGTTTTCAGTCGCTCATGAACATCGCTTGCATGCAGGAGTAGTCAAAATGTCACGCGTATCAAACGCCTTTGACAATTACACATCGTTATAAAACCATTAAATAAAAAATAAACATAATAAGTTCTTTATTATGTTGAAGCGTATAACTCTATTAATCATAATTTAAACAGTCGACTTTGGCGCTTGTCAAAAGTGAGAACTGACTAGCCGTATAGGTGATTTTGGCAATTTTTTTAACGGTTTCGCTAAAAGCCCACACGTGCTTCGATCGTCCTGAATATTGAGTGAGTGCAATTTGTATTGCAAAATTGTGGAATACTGCATTCTGTCCGAGGTCTGTATGATAAAAACAGCGCCTCATGGTACTGTTTCACCTTAGATGTGATGTATAAAAAGTATAAAAGGTTGGGTTACACGTTCCCAGGCATGTTGGCAAGATTTTGTAAGGTAAACTTGTCGAACGCAAAAAATTCGGCCCGATTTGTTTTCCAGTAATTTGTTTTCCAGGCCTAATCTACTGTGATCAAGAGCCCGCGCTCTTAAATGTGATCGAAGATGATTGCTTTTTTTTGGGTGTACATATAAGGCTATCAACTCGATGTAAGATTAAGTTCACTCTTAGCTTGTACTGTTTGCAAATTACTTTTCTCTAAAATCACTTAACCTTTCCCTCAAAAGTCACATGAATAAGCTCTAAAGTTAACTGAATTGTGGAAAACAAGTTTATTGTTTGATTTAACTTATAAATTCGAGTTAACATACAGGAGCTTCGCTTTTAGCCCTGGCTAAATCTATATATTAAACTGGAGCTCATGACGGATGTTGATATGTTCCAATTCATAGAAAAGGGATTACGCGGCGGTATTTCCTATATTGCTAATCGGCATGGGGAGGCTAATAATGAGTATATGAGTGGATATGACAGCAGTAAACCAACTAAGTATATTATGTATCTAGACGTGAATAACCTTTACGGATGGACGATGTCTCAATGTTTACCAACAGGTGGTTTTAGGTGGATGACTAAAGAACAAATGCAAAAAGTAAACTTAGCTGCCTGTACAGAAGACAGAAAAAAGGGTATGATTTTGGAAGTTGATTTGGATTACTCAAAGAATTACATGAGCTGCATAACGATTATCCTCTATCTGCGGAGAAAATAAAAGTTACCAAAGAAATGCTCTCTCCTTATGGCATAAATATTCAGGAACAGTTTGGAATAAATATGGGCCAGGTTGCTAAGCTAATTCAAAGACTAGCCAGTAAAAAGAATTATGCACTACATTATAGAAATTTGCAACTCTATTTGTCTCTTGGTCTTAAACTGAAGAAAGTACATAGGGTATTAGAATTTGACCAGTCTCCCTGGCTTGCACAGTACATTAATTCTAATACCCAAAAGAGGAGGAATGCTAAGAATGCATTTGAGAACGACTTTTTCAAATTATTAAATAATTCCGTATTTGGAAAAACTATGAAAAACATAAGAAAGCGTGTTGACGTGAGATTAGTGACTGATCAAAAGAAGTTGTCTAAACTTGTAAGCAAACCAACGTTTTGTTTATAGTATCTTTAATGAGGACCTTTTGGCGCTTCATAAAATCAAAGAAACACTGACACTCGACCGGCCAGCCTACGTGGGTATGTGCATTTTGGATCTATCAAAAACTCGCATGTACGACTTTCACTATAATTATGTCAAAAGCACGTACAATAATAAAGCTAAACTATTGTTTACTGATACAGACAGTCTTTGTTATGAGATTGAAACAAAGGATATTTATAAAGAACTATGGGAGGAGAAACAATTATTTGACATAGTGATTACCCAAAGGATAGTTCATATTTTAGTATGGAGAATAAGAAAGTAATTAAAAAGTTTAAAGATGAGGCAGCTGGCATGCCAATCAGAGAATTTATTGGTCTTCGAAGTCATGTATTCTTACGTGAAAGACAATGGTAAAAATGAAAAGACTGCTAAGGGTGTCAGAAAATATGTCATCTAAATGAATATCACGCATGACAATTATAAAGATTGCTTATTGAATGGGAAACAAATGTTACACAGCATGCGTACAATTAGAAGTGACCATCCTCAAATTGGGAGCTATCTCTTAAACAAAATTAGTTTGAGCTGCTTTGATGATAAAAGAGGCGAACCGGCACTCCTATGCACCTCGCTCTGCCCTTAGGCATCCTCTTACGAGTGGTATTCAGTGCAATTACAACGCCCTGACACCGTCTTCAAGGGAGTTTCCCCATTTTCCCATTTTCCCCTTCCAATGTTAATGTCGAAGCCGCGGGGTTTTTACTTCAACATTAACAAGGGTATCGCGTTTTTCCAATCAGGTAATACCTTCACCAAGATACATCCTAATACTTTTTCAAACTGGCCTTATGTATGAGTCCAATTCAATATTCTCAAAAATGTGGGATGTAATTTGTGTCCCCGCCAAGGGGCCCTGGTAATACGCAGTCTCAGTGGGGGCAAATATTATATAAAAATAAAAAATCTAAATATAATATAGNCCTAATACTTTTTCAAACTGGCCTTATGTATGAGTCCAATTCAATATTCTCAAAAATGTGGGATGTAATTTGTGTCCCCGCCAAGGGGCCCTGGTAATACGCAGTCTCAGTGGGGGCAAATATTATATAAAAATAAAAAATCTAAATATAATATAGTAATGTGTGATAAAGAAGTTCACGAGTTATTGATCCAGGAAAGTCATTAATTGTATCTTTTGTAATAAACCGATCCAGGACCCTGGTAAGCCCAAGCGATATTTTTGCTGCAAAAATATGAAACTGATAAAGGATAAACTTCTTGAGTGTAAAAATTGTGGCCAGGTACATGGTTATTTAACGGCAGACGAGTATGTGGATTTTTTTATGAAAATAGACACAAAATGAAAGGAAAGTCTGTATACCACAGAAAACATCACAGTTTGAATGTCATCAATGATATTGCACAAAATAATAATATACAAGTTGGATATTATAATAGAGAGAAGATTTTGAGAATATTTTTGTTGATCGACCAAGTTACACCGGAAGTCAATAATTTTTTGCCGAAAACTGCTCATTAGTGTAAGTTTTATTATAAAACAACTATTTGACATTTTAGGAGTAGAATACAAGATTATTCCTCTTACTCAGTCAAAAAATACACTACGATATTATGAAAATTGGTGGGAGAGAGTTTATTCCTTGATTAAGGCCGATATTAGCTGTCTGGTTTCTCAGAATTTGGACCGAAAGTAGGGAAAGCCCCCCGTTACTCATTGATCGAGAGACCCTGGGGAAGAGGTTGTACCTCGGGTTAACTTATATGGGGTACTATCCAGACTAAGGTTTCCGCCATCTTGTTTTTATCGACAGAGAACATTTATGCAGTTTCTGCTGTACGGGAGAGGAACTTTTTAGCGTACTGCTTTTCAAATTTTGTCACTAATGGAGCAAAATCCACGATCGTATCAACTAGTATATTCAGTGTCTTCAGGAAATAGTTTTTATTAAATGCCCCCGCCCCCCTCGCAAAGCGGTACGGAGGTCAAGTAATATTTTATGATAAGGTGAAAAAGCAAACTTTGAAATCTCTATTTTACTTTTGTAGTTTTTCGTGTCAGAAAGAGTTTTAAGAACTAAACCAGCGCCTGATATGCTTCCTAGAATGGCTGGGTTGGACGTCAAACCACCAGCAACAGCCCCAAGTACTATCAATCCAGTAGAGGATATCGATTTATAGCCAGGTTTAGTTTCTTAAAGTGTTTGAAGGCCTGTCAGTGACACCAATATTTATAATGGTAATATTTATACAACTCTTTGATCTCCTGGATCTCTTCTTTTGTTTCGCTTTTATCTATATGATTAAAGTGAAATATATTTTCCTTCTGACTCATTATATTATTGGTTTTGACTATTTACGGAACATAAGCACCGTTCAATTTCTCTTGAACTATTATTTGATGAAATTCCCTAGAATCTAGGTCATGAAAGTTTGGAGTGTACATTATTTTATAGATCACTGCATCTTCTGAGGATATTTTGAATGTGTAGTTACTCTGAGATGCTAAAGCTGAACTTACAGGGTGTCCCAAAAGTTCCAGCCACATAATTTTGTATTTTACTATGGCCCGAATTGCTGGAACTCCTTCCTTATTTTTTTGTGAATATCACGAAAGATAAACCCCCTTAACGCAAAAAACGTTCAGCTACGTGTGAGCATAAGTGTGCATGTATACTTCTATTTACTGGCTTATCTGTTGTAGAAACTGCTAAAAGTCTGGAAAAATCCGAGAAGAAATGAAGAAATGAAGATTTTAAAGGCAAGAAACGAAGGGGAAGACCAAAAGTCCTGAATAAAGTAGCTAAAATAGTTTTCAGAGATACAAAATAGGAGACTCGACGAGGAAGCTCTCACATAATTAATTTAGCAAGCCAAGTCCACAAAGGATCATGAAAAGCGAATATTAAAATTAGCCCCTGAGATGGCAAAAGAATCCGATCTGCTTAGTCTGCCAAGTAACGCCCAGTTCGTCTCAAATTTGTAAAGAACTTGAAAAGCCTTGCTGTGGAAAGGGGCCGGGATGATTATCTTTTTTGGATGAATGCCCAAAATATATTTTTTTCAGTTGCCTAAACTAACAAATATTGTTTGGGGGTTGAACTGGCTCCTGCGTACCGGGTGATAAAAAAAGTTCAAAATAGATCATCGGTGGGTCTACACACTGTATCCCACTCCATGCCGCAACAACTACACAATGTGATAAAAAACAAGAAGGCAATGCCACGTGAGCGAAATTCTGAATAGAAGTGCTCGATAGAGAAATAAACATCTTCTAGAAATTTCAGGTAAAAATAAAGTTTTGATCAAAAGTTATAGTGCACGAAATTAGAGGGACGAACTTTTGGGACACCCTGTAGTGTTGGTTCCAGAATGATTGCTTATTGATGCCTTTACTGTTAGGTCATCCCCTGTATCTTTCTTAGTTAGCCAAAACACAACCCGTTTATCATTGAAACTATTTAGTAATGTGATAGAAGTTTCGTTAGTTGACCCAGCTTTCAGACCATTAGTTTGCAGTGTTAATTCCTTTGTTGTTTTGTCATAAATCAAATTTGGTTTTTCATCAGCTTCATTTCTCATAAATGTTTTTATGTACATGGATCTGTTCAGCCATAGTCGCATAACAATACAAAGAGTAAAGCTCTTTTTACCGAATAATGTTAAACTCACTAGTTTATTTTGTATCCTTAAGCCTCCTTTCTCAACGTTGGCAATATTCATATTTGTGAAACGTATGTTAGGAAGTAAGCCGTTAATTATGATACCTGATGGTTGTCCTCAATGTACAAATTTATAAATACTAGCATCACTGAAATCATAAAATTCCTCAAATATTTCCCTGTACGCATTTTTTGCTGTATGAGGGCTCGATTTTGTCTCCAAATCTTTGACCATCTTTACAGTAGCTGCTAAATTATTTTTAGTCCGATCAGGAGCAATGTTCAATAGTTTCTTTCTGTTCATATACACATCAACATTGTAAACAACTTCAGTCGGCTGAATATCAAATGCCGTATGGTAATCATATGTTTTGTGGGGATCAATCGATGACACTTTTCCAAAAACACCATAAGCAATCATCCAGTTATTTGTCTAATTTTTTGGATATGTATTGAGATCAATACCCGATTGGGGTATATTAACGTAAAGATCCAGACTGTAAATTAGATTTGATACAGTTTTTTGAAAGTTTAAAATTATTTTGATATAATACATGTACTTAACACTTCCTCTGCTACTTGTGTAGTGGTGAGGAAACTTAGTAATTTGGATTAGTAATTTGTACAAAAAAGCATTTCCAGTGCCTCGGTTTATTGCTTGATATTATGAAGTAAGGATATCATTGGTTAATATTATATGGCCAGTTACAGTGCCACCAGACAGTTTCAAATAATTATCATCTATGTATTTCTTATCAACCCCATCTTTATCATCAGTTGGTTTGGCAAGATTAGTGATTTTATTATTGGACATATTTAGTGATCTGTACAGTACCGCAAATGATCCCCAAAATGGACCGCAAATGATCCTCGACCGCGAGTGATCCCCAAAGTTGACCGCAAATGATCCCGTGAAAACTTGAGGAATGGAATGGATTTTATGGGACTGATTACAAAAAAGGACTAATTATAAAAAAAGGAACCTTTTTCTGGCGCCTTCTAATGAAAAAAGGAAGGAGGACGCGACATCTCAGGTCAATTTATACAAGGCGAAAAAAAGCAGAATAAATCTGAAAAGGATATGGTAGCAACCGTATACTTCTTTCTTTGTCCATTGCTTCAATTTTCCTTCACGAACTGTTTCGTCGCTGAAAATTTAAGACAGGCAGGAGGTTACGCAGAAAAAACTCTTATTATTTTAACGCCCAAGCTCAACTTGTCTATTGACGAATACAAAGCCGGGCATCCTCTACATTATAAGAGCTTTATTGACTTTACTGATCTTTTTAGAAGTGACGAATTAATTTTCAGAATATTTAGTTTTGATTTTTCTCTGAAGTGTTAATTTTACGTGCTAAACAGCAAGACATCGGTTCGTAACTTAGCAGTGCCTCAGGCCTGGGAGTGCCCGTTACGAAACAAAGAAAATGCCCCCAAACTTATCAATGTCCACAGGTTTCGGTTTATTTCGAAAGGGCAACTTGCTTACAGCTCATGAACATGTTGCGAATAGTTATGTTGACGCTTATATGTATATCCATTTGTTGTGCCTTTGCTGGAGACAGTTACCAGGAATCTAAACCTTGTAATGAATTATGCAAAAGCGAGGCAAGCGGTAGTTATCGCGTGAGAAACATCGTAGGAAGCGTCACATTCACGGACTAAAAGAAAGTCGCTTATAATCATTCGAATTCATGAGGCTTTTTAAAGAAAATTAAACAACCTAAAACTCTTATTTAGCCGCAATGAAAAGCATTGCATTTCAAAAGAGGTCAAAGGAAATGCTCTTGCATTAAAGGACAAATCATGCCGACCAGAAACAACAATAACCGCAGAAAATGCGTGTCATGACCTCTCAGTATGAAATAAGAGGCAAAAATCACATTTGCTCAGACAAAACGTTTTCCTGCAGAGGTATAATCTACCCGCCAGAGAAAAAATTCATTGGAACAAGTAGCATTTTGGCATAAGGTAAAAGTCGTGTGTTGCCTACCGGGCGTTATTACTTTTGAATGCTTTTTTCGTTTAGTTTTTATTCATGTATTTATTTAAGAACTAAAATTTAGCGTTTAATCTTACTTTTTGTAATAATAATAAAATCGACACGATGATCCGCTAACTCGAGTCTAAACCATTCCTATTTTTCTTTCGGGATCATTTACGGTCGAGGATCATTTGCGGTCCAATTTGGGGATCATTTGCGGTACTGTACAGATCCGGCCATTACTCCACTGGATTTATCCAGGAATTTATTTTCTGATGAAACTTTTGTGGCTGGTTGATTATCACCATTTGGTTGAGCCACATTGTATATCCTCTTGTTATTCATATCCAAATTGCCGGTCATTAAACCACCAGAAAGTGATAGTTTAGTATCAAGTTGCTGTTTTATTACGGCATCATTGGAAGTAGTTCCTTTAGCCATATTAGTCAGCTTTTTGTTTGTCGTATCATAATTCCCATCTGATGTAAGATTAAAACAAGTGCCTGATGCACCAGTGGGACCACGAAGGCCAGGGACACCCTGAGCACCAGAAGGGCCAATAGGAACAGCTACACCAGGAGGGCCTTGAGGGCCAGTAATTCCTTGTTTTCCTTTTGAGTGTGATTGATAATTAGGTTGCTGATTAAAAATTCCCATTTTATAATAGTATATTAGGTATTTCCATCCACTACTATTTAATTATTCAGTTATGTCCCTTACATGAAATCCATTTGCTTTTAACAGCTTGGCTTCTTCATTAGTAATCGGATCATATATCCCAATAACTCTGCCAATAATCTGAGCTTGTTTTAGGGGATGTTATAAAGGAAGTCCGAACTAATAAGCAGAATGTTTACGAAAAGACTTCCTAGGACTTGAAACCTCTAACAGAAAAGTTTGATAAGGAGATAGAGGAGATCAGTAAATTAAGAGATGTTAGTAAACAAGTTGTCCCATACGCCGGGCAAGTTCAAAGATTAACATTACCAAGCCCGAGTGGTGAGGTGGCACCCAAGATGGTAGCTGATATGAATAAAGGATTCACACAAGAAGAATTAACATTCATACAAAACCAGCAATTGCCATTACCGGCTGACACTTTTTTGCAAACCTTAAAACAACCAAATCATGCAAAACAAATTCTGGATAATTCTGGTGAAATGATTAAGGAGTTAGGCAGGAAAACAGCCCATTTGAGCACAACAAAAACTGCCAGAAAGAAAAATAAGGATGAAATTGTTGAGTATGATGAAGAAATTGAGATTATTAGAAAGTACCGACAAAGAATTGGCATTATAGAGGAGGGTACAAAAACGTTGAAAGTGGGGAAGGGTATTTACACACAAAAAAAGAGGAATGCTTATAAGATTAACCCTGATACTAGTGTTTACGGAAATGTAATAATTGACGTTCCCAAACTTTATGGCCAGCTTAAACTAATTGCTCATAAGGATGGTAAGAAAGTATATGATAAGCAAGTGGACTTTGATACCCTTGATCTGCTGACCAAGAGGTTCAATAGTAAAAAGAAGTATTCACCATTATCAATAATGGTATTTGACGACCTGAATAGAATAAGCGATATTCCAATTCATCGAACCAGTAATAAGTATAAAAAAATCGGCTCAGGTGTTGTTTATTATAATAATCCAGCTGACCTACTGGACAGATTGGAATTGTTAGGTGGATCCATATTGGCTGGAAATAATGGCGTCAAAGATGAATTTTCCAAAATTGCTCACACACTAAACAAATTAGGCGTTCTAAATAACACCCAGCTTAATAGTCTGTTGAAGGAATATGTAATCTAATAATAAAATGCAAGAAAGAGCAATCTATATATCATCTGTTAATAGACAGAAAATCGGACAGAATAAAGCAGAAGATTTCATAATCAAATTTGATCCAGTTCTGAAAACTCCAAAATGATATGACACACGAAATAGCATTGGATAAGGTTACAATGACTTACAGTTGGCATAATATTTTAAATCTGTATCAAAATAACCACATAAAATACTCAACTGATGGTAGCACATCATGGCAAACAGTCAAATGTATTGATGGAATGTATACGTACTCAGATCTTAATGACTATCTCCACCAGTACATGAAAAAGAAAAGTCATCTTACCACCGACGATAAAACTGGTGACAAATACCACATTAACCTAACATTCGTATTGTCAACATATAAGATCCTCATTAAGATTGACAACAATTACCAACTGGATCTGAGAAACAGTAAATTTGGGGAGTTGATTGGGTTCACAGAGAAAATTGTGAAGAAAACAGAATATGGGACAATTCTTCCCAATATGACAAATTCCATTGATATGATCTATATCAATATCGATGCCATTACGAACAGCATATTGAATGGTGTTAATACTAATACCTTAGCCGTCATTCCAACTGACAATTTGACAAGAAGTTTCCCATTCACATTTGAACCCAGAAGACTATTGTTTAATGACGTTTCGCAGCTTAATATTTCACAAATGAGGTTTTATATTACAGACTCACTGGGGCGACCAATTGGTCTAAATAAGATCGATTGGTTTATGACCCTAATATTGCGACCTAAACCAGCATAATAATCTAACCAAATAATATACATGAAACAATCAGAATTCAAGAAACGTTATGATGTTAAAACGTGTAGATACGTTAAGAAGCACATTTATGGTGAAGGTGTTGTTACCGATGTTTTCAAAACGATTGGTAGAAAGCTATTTGGAAAGACGATGAAAGAGGCTGCTAAAACTGCGACCAAAACAGCCCTTCAGAAAGCTGCTACTAAGACTGGTGAATATGCAGGCGAGAAGGCCAGCGATAAAATTATTCAGTTATTAAGCAAAAAGAATAAAAACACAAAAACACCGGTAGCGACATCGCCAATAAAAAAGCCACAATCAAAAGAGCTAAGCGATTATGACATTAATGAGAGGGTAAATGAATTATTATCTGGAGGCCGGATGAGAAGATTTATCTCGTCTATTAATACAATGAAATCTTTTAGGGATCCAAAGTATGTTGAACGATATGAAGATGTTATTTTTGACCTAGAAACAGCACTAAATACAACTGTCGCCAATAATGCTCACCAAAAGAAAGATGGCTACAGATTTGTTGTTGATAACAGTGGTGAGGTTAAAGTATGTTGAACGATATGAAGATGTTATTTTTGACCTAGAAACAGCACTAAATACAACTGTCGCCAATAATGCTCACCAAAAGAAAGATGGCTACAGATTTGTTGTTGATAACAGTGGTGAGGTTACACCATTTGACTGGTATAATGCTCGATTTAGCATCAATTTTAAAGTAGTCTTGCTGGCTAATGGAGGTAACATTGCAGTAGCAGATCACAATGGAATTGTAAATGGGTCGTACTCATTCTTGAAACATTTTGATATTAAGCTAAATGGCAAGAAAGTGTACGATTGTAATGATGCAAATCACGCGGTTAATATTAAGAACTTACTTGACTACAGTCCGGCTTACGCCGATAAGACAGCTAGTAATGGGTTTTTCTTCCTTGATACATCCAGAAATGCGGAAGAGCGGGAATTCCAAGTCAGTGGCACAAATCAGTTAGCCAAAAGAAGAGCAGCTTACAATAAGTGTTTTGCCCTTCGAAAAGCACACCTAGGTACCTCATCTACAGTAAATACAGAAATACCACTGAACCGATACTCATTCTTTGAAATGTTAGAAGATGAGCTGTTACCAAATACAAGGGTTGAGATGATTTTGAGATTGAGTCAGATGGTAATCTAATTTGGCGAGCCGGGGCTGATTGTAGAGTGGTTATCACCAGGATGCAGTTGTATGTACCGCAAATAACCTTTAACAGTGAGGGCCAATCATCCTACATGAGCCAATACCTCAAAACACACAAATGGACTTACTTGAGAGAGAATATTGAAAGATGAAATAGCAGCCGCCAGAGAGCGGGGCATTTCAGAATATCAACTGGCATTCCGAAACCCCGACACGTATTTGTGTTCATAATTAATGACGCGAATATCGATGCCCAGACAGAGAATTAATTCTTGTAGAACACATTCTCTGTATCAACTGACCCAAGGACCTTATCCAATTGTCACCTGGAAGTTGGAAACGGTGACGAATACCCTGAGATACATTACACACCAACTATTGATATACCCGTGTTTACGGGGATGTATTAAGGTATGTCCACAAAAATAATGAATCCGGTGAGGGGTCATTACTCAATAAATCTAATTTTATTACCCGATTTCCATTCTTATATTTCGACCTAACAAAACAGAAAATGGACATTAAGGATGGCACTACAAAACTGACATTCAAATATGAGCTATATGGAAAAACCGCAACAGCCTACTCAATTTACGCATTAACATTATATGAGCAGGATGTTGAACTAATACAAAAAGATGGCAAAATAATACTCAGATCGTAAATCGAATATGGTTAAAATTATGTAACATATATTATATACAAGCAATGACAAAAGATTATCCTTATCGTGTGTCACTTAGTATAGGACAATTGGAAAAGCTTTCGAGAGCTTACAATAATAATTCAGCAATAACAATCAGATTAGCCAGAAATGAGTTATCCGGATCACATGAATTAATGCTTACAAAATCTCAGATCAATAAATTGAAAAAAGCAATGAACCAGGGTACCGGGGCGGATATCAAAATATAAAAAACACAAATCAGAAAGGCTGTTAAACAGGGCGGTAGTTTGTGGAGATCATTAATCAGTTAGGAAGCAAATTGCTAGCTATGGCCATGCCTCTAGCCAAAAAGGCTATTGCACCACTCGCAACAGGCGCGTTATCAGGATTAGCCAGTGTCGGTGTGGATAAAATATTTCGAAAAGGTCAACGAGGATAAAATAGCACAATTGATTAATTAAAAACATTTAGTGACCACGGGGCAGAAAAAGGATATTCTTAAGGCTCTCCAAACTGGCAGTGGATTGGTTATCAGACCGACGAAAACACAGCAGGGTAGGTTTTTAGGAACTCCACTAGCGAGTATAGGAGTCCCTCTTTATTACTAAACGCATTATCAGGAAAGGGTACCCAAGTCGATAGTACTGGATCACCTTCGAATACAGTGTCAGTATATGTTCCCGATACAACTAATGGCCACGGAATGTATAATCCGTATCCACCACCCTTTTTTGAAAAATGGAATAACCCAGTTGGTGCGGGAGTAAAAAAAAAAGGAAAGGGAAAGGGACTGCTGCTCGGCAAAAACAGTCCATTCAATTCAATCCCAATTCTAGGAACAATACTGTAAGATTCATAAACAAACCATTATCGAATATTGATTTGTTACATTGGGTCAAACAACTTGGAATAAAATATTTCAGGGGTATTTACAGTCGCGATAATTTACCACAAAAAATACACAAACTAGAAACAGGAATAATTAATCGTGATGATTCAATGGGCGGGGGCAGTCATTGGATTTGTTATAGAAACGTGGATAAGCAATATTGCGAGTATTTTGATCCATTCGGATTAATTATGCCCAATGAGATCAAAAATTATCTGTGAACAAGCGGGGAAAAAATGGTCTACTCATCTGATGAAATACAAGAGAGAGACAGTGTATTGTGTGGTTATTGGTGCTTATATTATCTCCTGGAAAGACAAAAGGGTAAATCATTATTAGACGTTATACACAACCCCAAATTCAGTTTCACAGATCAAATGATAAATCACCAATTTCTGATAAACTATTTTATGTAATCCATATACAATAAGATGACTGAAAAGTTCTGTGTTTATTGTCAAGAAGTTACTCCAGATTATGTGAATCAATATGGATGTTTCGAGTGCTGCAACTGTGAGCCCTTGAGTGAGAGTGATTATGAGTCAGATAGCAGCCATGATACTTATGTTCCAGACAGTAGCGATTGTGATTAAACAATAATTATATAACATACATATGTAATAATGGTGAAGTCCTATTGTGTTAAACAGAAAAAAACAAACAAATGTGTAGAACCTTCGGGTTACAAAACTGCCAAAAATGGTAGACTTATGTTTTGGTGCACTTGTGCTGAATGCGCAATAAAAAAGTTCAAATTTGTCAAGAAGGGAAACTAACTGGGCCCTCTCAAGCAGGGAGCGAATTATTTGACACCGCTGTAGGAACCGCTACTGATGTACAAAACAAACCGGAAAGATCTTGATGGAGGTGCTTTTGATATTCAAAATGTATTAAACCAAAAATGGCTTCTTGAATTTCGTATGAGAACATGGAAAGGTAAAAAGTATAATTATTGCGGCCCAAATACTAGGTTAGAGGAAAGATTAGCTCGAGGTGATGAGGGAATAAATAGACTGGATCAAGTTTGTAAACAGCACGATATTGATTACAGTAATGCTCTGTAATTATCTGATAAGCATTCAGCGGATCAAAAAATGATAGATGCAATTGAACAATTTCCAAATCAATCATTAACGGAAAGAGCTATTACGAATACTATTAAATTGAAAAAGAAACTCGGTCGTGGTTTAAACTAGAAAAGTCGTCGGCTATTAGTTGGCAATAGCAATTAGCGGACGAATTACATAAACCCATAAAGCGCAACTTTACTCGGCGGCGTATTATTACAAACGGTATTGACAAAATTCGGTGCTCAGATCTGGTTGAAATGCAACAGTTCAGCAAATGGAACAAGGGTTACAGATACCTCCTCATAGTACTAGATCTATTCTCCAAATATGGCTGGATTGTCCCTTTGAAGGATAAGAAAGGGGAGACTGTCACAGAAGCATTCCAAACCATCTTCAAAGAGGGACGTAAACCACAATATCTTTGGACTGATAAAGGGAAAGAATATTATAACAAAAATATGAAAGAACTGTTGGAAAAGAATGGAATAAAACTACATTCAACTGAGAATGAGGAAAAATCTAGTGTATGTGAAAGATGGAACCGTACAATTAAAACCAAAATGTGGACGCAGTTTACTGTCCAGGGTAATACCATATATTTAGGCATACTACCAAAAATACTGGAGCAGTATAATAACACTAAACGCAGCTCCATTAAAATGACACCTGTAGAAGCTAGTTAAAAGAAGAATGAAAGTGTTGTGTATTACAATCTGTATGGTGATATGAAGCAGTTGTCATCTAAGCCCAAATTCAAGATTGGTGATAAGGTTAGGATAAGCAAGTACAAAAGAAAAGTGTTCGATAAAAGGGTACACACCTAATTGGACAGAGTAGATACTCCTAGTCGATAAAATCTAATCGACAAACCCAATTACCTATAGATTAAAGGATCTCAATAATGAGGAAATACGAGGCTGCTTTTATGAGCCTGAATTACTACCAGCAAACCAGGATGTATTTCGCATTGAAAAGGTCATTCGGGGGGATTATAAGAAGAAACAAGCTCTGGTAAAATGGTTGGGTTATAGGATTCCACTGAGCAGCTTACAAGAATTATGTAACTAATATTTTATATGGACGATCATATAAGAAAGCTTGATACTAAAATCCAGAGTAAGGAAACCGAGCTTAATGCACTATACACTAAAATCCAAAAATTGGAAGAAGAGATTGCGACATTACACCACAAGAAATTAATATCCAAAAAACTGGAAACAGTAGAAATGTCATTAACCGGCGTCCTAAGTGCGATCTATGAAACGGAGGAAGAGGAGGAGAATGATTAAGGGTAACCACAAACAGTTAATTTGTTGTACCCCTGAAACGGGGGTTCAACCCAGATTATTGCCCCGGTGAAACGCCGGGTCAACAAATAAGACAGCTTTTGCTGATACCCTAAAACGGGGTGTCAGGTCCAAGGTGCTGAAACGGCACCTCAGGCCTAGCATACTTCTTTATCTATCCTACTTACCATGTTTATTGGTCTGTATGATAATAATTATCTAACCTATATATATGGTAAGTATGATTGAAAAGAAGTATATCAATCAAGATATGAATATCGAGCTGACTTCATACATTGATAGTAAGCAAAATGTTTGGTTCCGAGGAAAAGAAATTACTGAGATCCTCGGTTGTAGTAAAACAAGAGATGCATTATTAAAGCATGTTGATAACGAGGATACACAACTGATTAGCTGGCGTCCACAAAACGTGGACGGTAGGTCCAAAGTACAGAATCGTTACTATACTTTCGTAAATGAATCTGGGTTTTACTCCCTTGTATTATCCTCTAAATTAGAAGCTGCGAAAAAGTTCAAACACTGGGTAACGTCGCAAGTCCTTCCATCAATCCGCAAATACGGTCAATACAAACTATTTGATAGTCCCTGGAATAAAATGATTATGACTGGCAATGAGACTGACCTCTATTATAAAGTAGTGGACCTTATAAGAAAGTACTATCCAGATTCTATATTAGTAGCCGGTCTGGGTGAAAATCAGGATACTGATGACAAACGCCTCGATTCATATAAGAAAGGTTACACCCGTGTCAGCGTGATTTGATGATACTTGATTATCACAAAGATTATAAGGGCGTCTGTACTGAATTCAAATCACCAACTAATAATTATCATGTATAAGAAGCACAAAAGGAGATGAAGAAAAAGTATGTTAATAATGGCTATGCTTTTGTGCTCAGTAATGATTATGATAGAATCTGCATGAATATCCATGATTATATGAAAGGCATCAGAGTACCCTGAAATTATTGTATCAAACAATTCCTTAATAAGGACACACTAAAAACCCATTACAGGGTCATCCACAGATTATCTAATTAATTAGTATATGAATACTGTAGAAGCTGACCAAATTATTAGAGAGTACTTGGCGGAGCAAGAGCGCCAAAAGCAACTCCAATTAATGCAATTGCGTAATAACCTCAATACATTTACCTCCAAAGAGCTCAAGAAGGAAATAATTAAGATGAAAGCCGATAAGCTGTTACGCGCATGAAGAAAAATCAGATTATAGAATTAATTCTCGATTACCATTATTTGTTTCCTCATTTATTAACTAAACAGGGAAGTAAACGGAGCTCCGTATCAAGGAAACGTGTTGATGATAAATTAATTGACCAATTATTAGAGAATCCTGTGTATATAACCCACCATCACTGAAACAGCTAGCTACCCTGGCAAGACCAATACCCCAAAGACCTAAAAAATCAGATATACCGCCCCCTAGTATCAAGCTTGATCCCAAAATTATTAACCCAGCTGATTTAGAAGGTATTCCAACCGAGCTGTTGCAACAACTATTCCCCACTAACTAACTAATTAACTAACTAAAACCGGTTATTACTGGTCTAGACTACCCTCATTTACCCAATTATTTATTTATTTCGCCGTTTTTTGATTTTTGCGCGCTTATCAAAATATTTAGCCCGTTCCCGTCTATCTTTTTCTTCAAAATATTTATCACGCTGCCGCTCCAATTCGTCCATTCTATCAAAACAATCCTTTTCCTCGAAATATTCATCACGTTCCCGCTCTAATTCATCCATTTTGTCAAAATATTCTATATCCGGATCTGGCTCCACAACCGGCTCAACCGGTTTTAACCGATTCAGTCTGCTAATTATTTCATCATTTTCATTATTCATTTTGCTCCATTTTTTGTCATTCTCAATTTCCTGTTGTCGTTTTTGCTTGATTTTTTCGAATCGCGTAACTAATTTATCATACTCCTCCTCCTGGTATTGCTCTTGTTGCTCCTCTCTGGTCATTGGTGGCTCGGCAGGCAAACTGTCATGTCACAAAGTTTTCTTAAAATTTTTAATCTCTCGTGCCGTTTCCTTAAAATATTTATATAATTCCAATTCATTGAATTGCCCTTTAGAGATTGATTTGCAGATGGCATTATTTTGCCAGATAAGAATATCACACAAGTACTCTAGTTGCTCACTCATACTCATTACTATATAGAGGCGGCTTATCTTTAAGCCAAGATCATTTTGCTCAATCAATTAGCGAAAATAACCAGTCCAAACCGCCCAAAACCGGTTACCAAAATGCAGACATCAGCCGAAATCCCAAGGTCAGATCCAAAATATGAAAAGTGGTCCTGTACCGCCATGTACTATACTACTGAAGTCAGCCAAAATCTGGATATCAGGATTTTGGAAAGGTAAAATCTTGAACTTAGCAAAAGTCTTTTATTAAGGATTTTCGAAAGCTAAAGTTTTGAATTCAGCCAAACTCGTAAATTCAGGATTTTTCAAAGCTAAAATCTTTAAGTCACTGAAAATTTTGAATTCAGGATTTTGAAAAGCTAAAATCTGGAAGTCAGCCAAAATCTTGAATTCAGGATTTTTAAAAAATAAAGTCTTGAAGTCAACGAAAATTTTAAATTCAGGATGTTGGAAAGTTAAAATCTTCAAGTTAGCCAGAGTCTTGAATTGAGGATTTTGGAAAGCTAAAGTTTTGAATTCAGCCAAACTCGTAAATTCAGGATTTTTCAAAGCTAAAATCTTTAAGTCACTGAAAATTTTGAATTCAGGATTTTGAAAAGCTAAAATCTGGAAGTCAGCCAAAATCTTGAATTCAGGATTTTTAAAAAATAAAGTCTTGAAGTCAACGAAAATTTTAAATTCAGGATGTTGGAAAGTTAAAATCTTCAAGTTAGCCAGAGTCTTGAATTGAGGATTTTGGAAAGCTAAAGTTTTGAATTCAGCCAAACTCGTAAATTCAGGATTTTTCAAAGCTAAAATCTTTAAGTCACTGAAAATTTTGAATTCAGGATTTTGAAAAGCTAAAATCTGGAAGTCAGCCAAAATCTTGAATTCAGGATTTTTAAAAAATAAAGTCTTGAAGTCAACGAAAATTTTAAATTCAGGATGTTGGAAAGTTAAAATCTTCAAGTTAGCCAGAGTCTTGAATTGAGGATTTTGGAAAGCTAAAGTTTTGAATTCAGCCAAACTCGTAAATTCAGGATTTTTCAAAGCTAAAATCTTTAAGTCACTGAAAATTTTGAATTCAGGATTTTGAAAAGCTAAAATCTGGAAGTCAGCCAAAATCTTGAATTCAGGATTTTTAAAAAATAAAGTCTTGAAGTCAACGAAATTTTTAAATTCAGGATGTTGGAAAGTTAAAATCTTCAAGTTAGCCAAAGTCTCGAATTCAGGATTTAGGAAAGCTAAAATCTTGATTTCGGCCAAAAACTTGATGGAAGCCAAAATCTTGTAATCAGGATTTTCCAAAAAATCTTGAATTCACTATTTTGGGAAGCTAAAATCTTGAAGTCAGCCAACATCTTGTTTTCAGGAATTTGGAAAGCTAAAGTCTTGAAGTCAGCCACAATCTTGAATTCAGGATTTTTAAAAGCTAAAGTCTTGTAGTCAACGAAATTCTTAAATTCAGGATGTTGGAAAGTGAAAATCTTCAAGTCAGCCAAAATCTTGAATTGAGGCTTTTCAAAAGCCAAAATCAAAGTCAACCACAGTCTTGAAATAAGCCACAATCTCGATTTCAGGTGTTTGGAAAGCTGAAATCTCGAAGTCAGTTAAAATCTTGAATTCAGGGTTTTCAAAAGCTAAAATGTTGAAGTCAGCAAAAATCTTGAAGTTAGGATTTTAAACAGCTAAAGTCATAAAGTCAACCCAAATTTTGAACTCAAGATGTTGGAAAGTTTAAATCTTCAAGTCAGCCGAAATCTTGAATCCAGGATTTTGCAAAGTTAAAAACTTCAAGTCAGCCAAAATAGTAGTAAAGGGGGTTGATATGGCAAGTAACCAATCACAGAGCAGTATTCTTTTGTTTAAGATTTAGAGAACAATTCGAACAATGGAGCTCATTCGTATTCAGTACTTTGAACTAATCACAGAACAGCAAGAGCAATGACGACATTTATGTAATATGGGATGGAAAAAGAACGTGTTTTTATTGACGTATAAAAAATGTTTCGCGCCATCTGTTGTATTAGTATTCATGAAAATGGCGCCGTTAGCTCTAAACAAAGTTAACTTAGATCGATTTGTCGACATAATAAATCAATTGCAGAAGGACCTATCTGAAGAGTACAGTCTCCTTAAAAGACAGAACCAGTTTGCATTGCGTCGGCTGGAGAAGAAACAAGCAAAACAAA